ATGTGACACGCCGTGTACCCACAGATGTGACACGCCGTGTACCCACACAGGAGAGACGTGCTTTACACAGAAGCCCTTTTAACATAAAATCGAGTAGCACACCATTTATGCTGCTACACACAGTAACGATGGTCAGCTTTTCCTAGGTGCTAAATTCAGCATCTTTTTATATTTACAGATCACTCTCGTGCTTTTATGTTTGTTTTAATACATTTGTTTCAGAGAAACTACAAATTAAATAAAAATTTCCATAGAGTAACCACGAAATGTTCAGAAAAATCTTAAATAAAACTTAATGTAACAGAGTCATTTTTGGAATCTTTATACATACATATGTGTGATTTTAAAGTATTTATCTTTTTTTTAATGAGAGTTCTCTGATTTACTACTTTAACCCAGGACATTGAATGCGCGTTAGTTTAGTGAAACGTTCATGACTTTCGGAAAGTTCCAAATATTTAATACTGTCATTGCCGAATGTAGAAGTTACTTTGGTTTGCGTAATTTATTAACTGATTATATATGTAGTTTTCGACTGGTTTAGCGGCACTCTTGTTGGTCCTTCCATTTAGTTTTTCTTGAGGACTTTTTTCAAAAGGAAGTTTTTATTTCCCATGTTTCTTTAAGCCTGAACACACTCGCTGAACAGTTAGCTTGTTTGCGGCTTCGCAGAGATGCAGCTAGCTCTGAGTAAAACTTTTGGTCAGAAACCGGTTAGATTTCAACTCGAAGAAGATGGAGACTTTTACATGGTTGGATCAGAGGTATGTTGACCTGTGGTCTCTGACTGTTCGTGCTTGTCATCTGTAAAAACAGCCTCGGCTCCGTCCGTGATGCTAGCAGCAGCTAGCATCATGCTAACGGACTGCTATAAACAAAGAGATGCGTTCAGGTTCAATGAAGTCAGCGACTCAAGGAAAAATCAGCTTCCGAACAAAAACAGACATTAACAGCTTTAAATGTTGTTTAATGACATTAGTTTTCAAACTGCTGCATTTAGTTTTTTACAGTTTGTATGTTTTGCAAAATTAGGTCTATCCTGCAGATGTTGGATGCTGCAGATGTTGGATGCTGTCTATCATGGTGCACTAAGATTCATAACTGGCTGTGATTATCGTACCCACCACTGCACCCAGTATTCACTGGTTAACTGGACATCATTAACTTCACGCAGACTCTCTCACTGGTACATTTTCATCTTTAAATCACTTCCTGGTCTGTTGCCTTCATACATCTCCTCCTACATGTCTCTGCGTGAGTGCAGCTACAGCGTGCGCTCTCAGGACATCATTACCTGCAGTGTTCCCTCAGTGAGGACTGAACTAGGCAAAAGGGCCTTCTCCTACTCCGCTCCTGTTTCCTGGAATATCTTACAAAAAGATTTGAAGCTCTCGACCTTGACCTCTCTAAGTGGCTTTAAGAACCTGTTGGACTCCTGGCAGGGTCCAATGCAGACATGTTCCTGTTTTTAGTTTTATACATTTGTCTCGGAATCTAGCAGTTTTTTTGGTTTTGTTACCTTTTTCCTTTTAGCCATCCTATTTGTTTGTAAAAAAAAAAAAAAAAAACAAAAAAAAACTGTAGTCTGAGTTTTTATAACTGTTTATTGTTGTTGCTGTTGTCCATTGTTGTCATCTTTCTTTGTTAAATCAGGTCTCTCTTGTAAATGAGTCCTCGAGGCTCAATGGGATTTACCTGTATAAATAAAGGTTGATTGAGGTCTAGAAAAATTACGTTTGAAAAATAAATTTATTGTGAGATTTAACTTTAAAAAATTCTAGTCATTTAAATTCACTTTGTGAAATCTACTAGAAAACATTATTATTATTATTTCTACAAAAACGGATGCATTTATATTTTAAAACAGGTAAAACAGCAGGTTTTAGTTTTCTTCTGATGTAAATTAATGTTTGAAAAGAAGATCAAAAAATAATTTGTTACAGTTTACATCCATCCATCTTGTACCTCTTACCTGTGGTCGGGTCACGTGGGCAGCAGGTTCAGGAGAGAAACCCCAGAACCAGAGACGCGTTCCAGCTGCTCTTGAAGGACCTGGAGGTGTTCCTAGACCAGAGAAGATCCACAGTCCCTCTACAGTTTTGGGTTCAGAGGAGCAGCTCTACTCCGAGCGCCCCCAGATGATGGATCTCCTCATGATCTTTAAGGATGAGACCCGTCCCCCACCCTACGATGGAAGCTCATATCGGCTGCTTGTACCCAGGATCTGGTTCATTGGGTCATAATCCAAATCTCATGACCACAGGTGAGGGCTGGACCAAAGACAGACCAGAAAATTGAGAGCTTTGCCTTTCAACTCAGTTCTCTCTTCACCACGACTGACCAGAGCAACACCCTCATTACTGAGGACAAGGCCCTGATCTGTGGTCCATCTCCTGCTCCATCCTACCATCACTCAGGAACATGACGCCCAGATACTTGAACTCCTCCACCTGAGGCTAGTGTCCCTGACCCGGGGCGGGGGTAACGTCCCACCTGTTTCCAGTTTACGACCTGTGGTTAAAATTCATTCATTCAATCTTTATTTCTACAGGTTAGTCCCAATGAGCCTCGGAGACTCATTTACAAGAGACATCTGATTTTAACAGAGTGATGACAACAGTGGACAACAAAGACAACAACACACAATCATAAAGGATGAATATAAATTGAGAATAACAAGGGAAAATAAAATATTAAAAAATTTAACAAAAAACAGCTAGGTTATAAGGCAATGTAGAAAATTAAAAACAGGAACATGTCTGCATTGGTTTTTCCCATGAACTTAGCAGATGTTTGAAGCCACTTAGAGAGGTCAAAGGTCGAGAGCTTCAGATCTTTTTACAAGATATTCCAGGAATTAGGAGCGGAGTAGGAGAAGGTCCTTTTGCCTAGTTCAGTCCTCACTGAGGGAACACTGCAGGTAATGATGTCTTGAGAGCGCACGCTGTAGCTGCACTCACACAGAGACATGTAGGAGGAGATGTATGAAGGCAGCAGACCAAGTCTGCGTGAAGTTAATGGTGACCAGTTAACCAGTGAATACTGGGTGCAGTGGTGGGTACAGTAGTTACAGCCAGTTATGAATCTTAGTGCACCATGATAGACAGCATCCAACATCTGCAGCATCCAACATCTGCAGGGTGCTTGTAGGAGCGTTCATGTAAATAATGTCACCTTGATCAATGGAGGGAAGGAAGGTCACAGTTACAAGGTGTTTCCCAGCGTTCAGAGTTAAGACAGGATTTGGAGATTGCAAAAGCTGGAAAGCCTTAGCAACTGTTTTAGCTCAGCAATAAACAACTGTGTCATCAACATAGAAATGTAAAGATGCATCAAGGATGCTCTGACCTACATTACCTATGTAGATTGTAAAGAGAGTGGGTCCTAAGACTGAGCCTTGTGGTACACCATTGTTGACTGTTAAATAACTGGAGGAAGTACCATCCAGTCTGAGAGTTAGTGAACCAGCCAATGGTGTGGTCCGAGAAACCATGAGAGCTTATAACATCCAGTGTTTTCCCTAGTTAGCTTGCCATGGCGGGGTGCTCATCTCATCCATGATTTTTGCTGATGGGGGTGACGGAGACATGTCTGAGCGCAGCTTGTACTAACAGCTTTTGAGCGGGGGCGGGGGGCGTTCAACATGAGGGAAGAGGCAGTGTGAGTGCTGCCTTTGGGCGTTTTAGCTAGAGAGCCTGCATTTTGCGCAGCTACCTTAGTGATATGTCGGTGCCGGGCGGGCAAGTTCAGTTTGGTAGGCGGGGTGCTCAGTTCTGTTGACGGGGTGGGGCACCCCGCCTGTATAATGGTAGGGGAAACACTGACATAAGATGTTATGATCCAGTGTCAGAATCTTTAGACAGGTCTAAGAAAAGTGCAGCACAATAATCCTTAGCATCCAGTGCTTCAACAACATCATTAAGAACCTTCAGTGAAGCAGTGGTTGTGCTGTGTTGTTTCCTGAAACCAGATTGATGTGGAGGTAAGATGTTAAATGAGTCCAGGTAATCTTTGATTTGAGAGTTTATCAGTTTTTCTAGAACCTTGGCTAAAATGCAGAGTTTAGAGATTGGTCGATAGTTGTTCAGTGAGGTGGGGTCACCTCCCTTCAGCAAAGAAGAACAAAGGCTGTTTTCCAAGTGTCTGGATGGAGTTTTGTCTTATGGAGAGATTGAAGATGTGGGTCACAGGGACTGTGATGATATGAGCAGCCAGCCTTAAGAAATAAGGTGGAAGTTCATCTGGACCTGCAGATTTTTTAGGATCAAGATCTTTTAACAGTTTATTGACCTCACTGACTGAACATAATGAAAATATGTGGTTTACTGCAGATTGACTTGGTAGATGTTTGGCTTAATTAGAAGTGGCTGATCTTCCATTAGTAACTGTGTCAAATAAAGAACTAGAAGCAACAAAATGTTTGTTAAAACGGTTCAGGATGTCATGCTTATTTGACACAGGAACAGAAGAAGTTGTGATGGGAGGTCTGATGATTGGGGGTGCCTGAGAGAGATTTGATGGTTTTCCAGAATATTTGAGGGCCATTTAGGTTTTGGAGGTCTGAGTTAAGAAATAATTACATTTTACAGCTTTGATGGAAGTTGTGCATTTATTCTGCTGCTGCCGAAAACTCAACCAGTCAGTATTTAGGGCTGGGTACCTTTCTAAAAAAATCAGTATCTGTACCGGTGTCGGTACCTTCACTTCGGTGTCGGTTCCTGGACGGTTCTTTTTTCTGTACCAATTGTGTAATTACCTTTAAGCTCTGGGCCTCACTGGCTCCTGAATGGCTGAAGAAAAAGCTATTTGGGAGCCGATTACCATACCATACCATACCATACCATACCATACCATACCATACCATACCAATTTATTTATAAAGCACTTTAAACAGTGACAAAGCACACCCAAGTGCTGTACAGGGACAAACAGAACAAGCACATAGCAACAGATTACATAACAGGACACCAAAAAGTAGAAACCGACAAAAACAATAATGGATAACAACAACAACCGCAACATGACCAACACAGTGTGATGCACACTGACTCAGCACAGATCACACAGTGCTGAAAGCCAGGGAATAGAAGTGTGTTTTTAAGCAAGATTTAAAAACTGTGAGGGAGGTGGCCTGTCTAACCAGCAGAGGTAACTCATTCCAAAGTCTTGGGCCTGCTACAGAGAAGGCCCTGTCACCTCTGCGCTTGAGACGGGTTCCTGGGACTGTTAGGAGCAACTGGTCTGCTGATCTGAGAGAACATGGTGGGTCATACGGCTGGAGCAGATCAGTAAGATAGGAGGGGGCAGAGCTGTTTAGTGATTTATAGACATACAAGAGTATTTTGAATTTGATTCAAAGGTGAACCGGAAGCCAGTGTAGGGAGGCCAAAACAGGTGTAATGTGCTCTCTTTTGCTTGTGCTGGTCAAAAACCGGGCTGCTGCATTTTGGACCAGTTGGAGTCTAGCTATGGAGGTCTGACTGATACCAAAAAGGAGTGAGTTGCAATAGTCGAGCCTGGATGTAATGAATGCATGAATTACTGTCTCCAGGTTATTTTTGGACAATATGGGCTTCAGCTTAGACAGACGCCTCAGCTGGAAAAAGCAGGATTTAACAATCATATTTACATGATTGTTGAGTTTCAGAGAAGGGTCAAGTATCACTCCTAGATTAGTGACTCTTTGTTTCACTAACGGTGACAGAACGGATAGGTCGATGCAGTGGTTGGTGATGGTGTCATTACCCGCTCTCAACGTAATTTATATGGACCGGGTGGGGCCCACACGACAGATGGTCGTGGACTAAATTTTTCAGTGCAGCGCTTTGCGTGACGGGATAAAACCCATAAGCGACAGCCTTAAAGGGCTACGCCTATACTCATACGATCTGGGGTTACAGTACGTAACCAATGTTTTCTTCTACCGGACCGAGACCTAGGTTTTAGCCCGGGCCAGAGTTCGCCTTTTTGTTCCATGACAGAGTTCGATGGCGTGTTCACACCTCCCCAAACGAACCGGACTTCCTAGGAAAACGAGCTAGAGTTCGATTAAAGCAGACTAAACAGGACTGGTGTGAATGCACCCTAAGTCGCACGAAGACTTGGCAGTTATTTTACGCCGGATGCCCTTCCTGATGCAACCACAGACCACCGAGCTACCACAGCCCTCTGTGTGGAGCAGAGAGCTGCTATTTAGGACACCCGGAGGAGCAGATGGTGGGGGTTAAGGGCCTTGCTCAAGGGCCCAGAGTAGGGCGAATGAGGGTGGGGGCAGGTGTGGGTGCTTCACCTACCCCACCCACATTTTTGAAGTTGTTGGTATATATATATATGTATATACTGTGTATGTATATATGTTTATATATATACAAACCGGATTCCAAAAAAGTTTGGACACTAAACAAATTGTGAATAAAAACTGAATGCAATGATGTGGAGATGGCAAATGTCAATATTTTATTCGTAATATAACATAGATGACAGATCAAAAGTTTAATCTGAGTAAATGTAACATTTTAAAGGAAAAATATGTTGATTCAAAATTTCACAGTGCCAACAAATCCCAAAAAAGTTGGGACAAGTAGCAATAAGTGGCTGGCAAAAGGAAATTGAGCATATAATGAACAGCTGGAAGACCAATTAACACTAATTAGGTCAATTGACAACAAGATTGGGTATAAAAAGAGCTTCTCAGAGTGTCAGTGTCTCTCAGAAGCCAAGATGGTAAGAGGATCACCAATTCCACCATTGTTGCACAGAAAGATAGTGCAGCAATACCAGAATGGTGTTATCCAGCGTAAAATAGCAAAGACTTTTAAGTTATCATCATCAACCGTGCATAACATCATCAAAAGATTCAGAGAATCTGGAACAATCGCTGTGCGTAAGGGTCAAGGCTGTAAAACTCTACTGGATGCTCGTGATCTCCGGGCCCTTAAACGTCACTGCACCTCAAACAGGAATGCCACTGTCAAGGAAATAACAGAATGGGCTCAGGAATACTTCCAGAAAGCATTGTCAGTGAACACA